GCAATGATGCACATTTTTCTCCCGATAGTTCGCAGAATATTTAGGAAATGTGGGTTCCCTATCCCTGCGTTCAGTACAGCTAACCTTTCAAGTACTGACTGAAGTCCCAACATCAAGAGAAGGAAACATATCCAAATGCATGTCTCTGAAGTCCCTCTGTCGCTGAGGAAGACATTCATTTGGAGGTGAAAATGTAGGCCTTTTGAGAAACTGTTGCACTTGACTGGTCTCTTTCTGGATGTTAATGCATTATATTTTCCACTAGTTTGTGGGGAGTATTGACAGAAAAATGTGCATATCTGTGTAAAAAATTGCATTGCTTTTATGTGCAAACCGGCTCCTTTGATGATAATTGTCGAGCATGGGTCTGCGTATACATGGGGCTCTGTGTCTGCCTGTTAAGTGACAGCATAATTACACACAAGGCTAAATAAGGCTCTGAATGAGTGTGCAGAGTGATAGCAGTGGATGTGGAGGGAATACTGATGGTCTAACAATGTCTCTGAAGCCTCGTCCCTTTGTTCAGGTTCCCGCTGTATTTGCCTACGGCCGCCTCCTCCCCTCTGCAGCGAAGCGAGCTCATTGGAGGACGGCAAAGTCACGGGTTGACGTTCAGGTCCGCAGAGTGAAGGATTTTAACTGTTGCTAAGGTATTTTAAATGGTTAGTTGACCATTACAGGACATCATTTGCTGTCCATCGTCACCAGCTGATTGCTAGGAGATAGCATGGAATTTGTTGAAAGTGTGAAATCTCAGGATTACTCAGTTTCTCAGCAGGCCTGACAGTCTGCACTATCACTTGCTGTCTGGGATGTTGATGGCTTCAGGCAATATTTGTTATTGAGATTGACCCACATCATGTTGCATTTATTTATATTGAACGTCTTTTAAATCCTCTGCCAAGAGATATTTGGCAACGACTCCTGCTGTCTACTGAAAGGCCTCTTTTAGATGGAAGTGGAAAAAAAATCTCAGGTTCATCCTCAGTTCAGAGCTCATGGAGGAGGAAAGCTATTTCAGCGCTGCAGACTGGGGGAGGCAGGGAAGAAAAGGATTTCTCAATTTCTTTCCTTCACTTTCTATGCTTGTATGGAATTAAAAACTCAATGAACTGTCTATTGCGTTGGAGTTTATACTGCAGAACATGACTAACAGACATACAGACATTTAAAACGACGACAAAAAGCAGCTGTAACACTATCTATGCAAAAGATCTGAATGAATAGTGAAAAGGAAAATGGTCTATCTGTGTTTCTATTTGCAGTGATGGCTGACATTGGGAACATCACCTCCTGCTTCTTGCATTAACACCCCTGCAGCCTTTACACAACTCCAAATTGGAGCCAGTCCAGGTGAGCTCACACATCCACACAAAGACACACACTCCAACATCTCTTTCTGGATGACAAACTGGTGCAGAGAATATGTTCAGTACATGTTACTGCACTGTACTGAAGGTGACAATGTATTTGCCAACATTTCACTGCACCTCTACCTGTCATTGAATTGGTACAACATATCTATGTTACCTCCTCGCTCCAGTTAAACTAAAAATAAGCTCAGTCAACTGCCAGCAGCAGCTTGTCTCCTGCTACTTCTCTGCTCCTCTACCCTCCTCGTGATACTCTAGTCTAAATGTAGGTTTACCTCAGACCACACACCATCGTTATGTGTGCGTTCAGAGAGGAGAGCGCAGCCGCTGGCCCTGTCTGTGTTTCTGGGGGAGCTCATCATGGCGGCTGCGTGGAGCAGCGTGAGGCTGGGCTGCCTGGGACTGTTGGTATTGAGCAGGGAGCAGCGCCCCGGGCACAATCCATCAAAAAGGAGCTGTTGCACTGTGGGAATAGACATGAATAATCCATGCTTTCTTTACCCTTTCCTGTGTAACTATGCCTATCCCATTACAATCTCTCTTGCCTTTTCTTCAAATATCCAACTGCTGTATTTGTATTAATCATTTATTTTGACTCTTATTATTTTTATAACATCCAGTCCTTATCTTCAAATATATAATTGGGAGATTTGATGTTCTCAGTGCAACCTTAAAATATTACAGAAAGAAAAGCTGATAAAAATGTCTGATATGTTAATATTCTTTTATTTAGTTTTACTGTAAGCTATTTTTATCAAGATTACATGTTCAAAAATAGATTTTGTGTTATTTGGCATGTCCCAAAACATAATCTCCATCTTTATCAAACTAAAACTAATTGCATACAAAATGAATAACCAAACCCACAATCTTAAAACTAAAATAACTAACATTTCTCAATTTTTCGACCATGTAGGATGGCAAATGGTTCTACAGTATAGGACATCATGTTTAATTATTATTCTAACTGTGCTACTTTTAAAAGGAAAGTAAGTCAAGCTGATTAATTACCCATGGTAAAGGACCTCAATCATATGTATTATTATTATTATTATTATTATTATTATTAATTTCTATGATGTTGGAAGGGCTCGTTTTACTACTACACACGTTATTTTATTTGTCATTATTGTGACTAAAATGCAGGGTTAGTTGCAGCAGGAAGATAAAGGGCTAGTGGACTGAATCTGGTTGAATATGGTGTGTAAAGAACAGATTTTATGGATGATTCGAGCTTTGGGGGCTTTCTAGTTTGCAGTTTTTTTATGGGGGTCGTAAACATTGATTTGTGCAGCGTTGTTAATCGAGGACCCTCTTGAGAGCTCTGAGCCGTAATCACTGTTTTTGAAGTCCTGTGTTTTTTTTCTCCTATCTACAGATGATAGCCTCACTAACCTTCAACACTATTCCTCACTAGGTGAATAAAGCAGTGACTGCTGCTGCTGGAGAGATTTCATACTACAGAACTGGGTTGTACTTTAATGGACTACTGCCCCACTGTGGCAGTAACATTGCTGTGCCCATTGTGCCTGTTTCTTTCCTTTAACCACATATACTGTACAACCTTCCCTGAGTGTAAACTCACTTTTCCCCATCCAACATCAGCTGGTTTATATATTTATTATCATCCTCACATTTCCCTTCGTTTTGCTGATAAATGAATTAAATCCTCTGGTGGTGATGAATATCCAGTGAGACGTGAGGAGGGGTTTACGGGCTTTGGATTGGAGCAATTATAATGTGGACAAATCGTTTGGCTTTAATTAGATCTTGGAATATCTGATAAGATACCCAATCTCATTTTTTTATTTTTTTTTATTTTAACAGCTCTGTGCCTGCGAGATGAAAAAGATGCTAACTTAATCAAGCAAAGAAGGAATTTGATATGAACTGAATCTCTTCATTGATCTTGTGCCCACCAGGTGGTATTGAATAGCATGATTTTAAATGCGAGCATGTGATACTGCATAACTTAAACTGACCATTAGAGATGTGCTATGTTTGCAGATTGGGCTGTGTGAGGGATTTGTGATGTGCCCGCTCTCTACCGTCCTTCCTGCTCAATAAATCTTGCTTTTAGGTTCTCCTGCTGTTAACCCCGATGAAGATCTCTCTTCACTAGATATTCTGCCCAGTGCAGCCATGATTGTTCCTTAATATCACTCAAACAGGTCAGTCAGAAAAAATATCCCCCCCAGCTTTTATTCTGCCTCCATGAGCAGTAAAATCAATATGCTCTGGCTGTGCAGCTGGTGGGCGAGGCTGGTGCTTCTAGAGAGGAGCAAATGCACACCAGCGTGCGCACATCCTGCAGAGCACTAATGCACCTCGGGGCTCTGACATCAATTAAGGGAGACAATGGACAACTGTCCTGTGCGCTGCAAGCTAAAAGGCTTGAATATGTGAATGCAATGTGGGCGTGATTATGTTTTGGAAGGAACCGCCTTTAATAATAATGCATCTGTTAAAGTGACATTTTTGCACCAAGGCCCTCTTTTATGCTTTTCTTTACTGAGATAATAAGATTGCTTCGCCCATGTTGTACGCCAAATATGAAGCTAAACCAGCAACTATTTAGCTTTGCTTTAGCATTGAGACCGGAAACAGTGTGGACCAAACTTTTTCTTGGATGTGAGCAGTGACTTACTAGAGGTTTCTTGATAACCTCACGATGATGACAAAACGTTAGGAAGTCACTGCTTCCAGCCAAAAAATCTACGTAACATCACAAAAAGCACAACTTATTGTTTTTACATTTTCGCACATAATAAACATGGTAGATAACAGGTATTAATTAGAGAGCTATAGATTTGCTTGAGGTGGATTTTGTTACATTTGGATTGACCTATGGCTTGCTGTTTCCAGACCTTATGCTAAGACAAGCTAACAGGCTGCTATCTGTAGCTTCATTTGAGGTAAAAACAAAATTGTCTTATGCAAAAAAAGGAAATAAGCATTTTTTTGAAAGACTATTTATTTTAAGGGTCAAACTGTACGCAGAGTTATATTGAAAAGAACAGGAGATGCTTTTCAAGTGGTTTCATTCCCAATACTCTGTACTGGATGTTTACTCTTATTTCGTATTAATACATGTTTGTTCTCTCTTTTTCTAAAAGTGAATAAGGTGTGAGTCTAAAGTCTTATACAGAGCCTGGTATCATTTTTCAGACTGTGTTATGCGTTTGAGTCTGGCCTGTCTGGACACAGTTGGAGCTTTTCCATCTCTACGTTTCCTGCACCTACCGGTCTTCTAATAATAGTAGAGCGGTTGCCAAGGTGCAAATGGTACAACTCAATGTTTTATTTATTTTGTTCGCTCAAATGTATTTCCTAGCAGAATGTCAGAACCTTAATCTGCAGCAGAGATGGCCGTCCACGCCCACATCATGTTTTCATTTATGCCTTTTTGTCAGTGGGGGAAGCCATTACAAATTCCTATTACTCGAGGAAATCGAGGAGCAATTCTCTCTTTCCACAGAAGCCATGTTTCCATCACTCAATTTAATGACATGAATAATCTGAAGATTTTATTTGTTCCATTTTGAAACAATATTCTGCATAGTAAAATTCTTAATAATAAAGAATTCTTAATACTAATTATGTTTTTTCTGTCATTTTGTTTTAAAGGATGATGCTCTCCACCCCACAAGCAGCAGGATTGGCTGTGACCACAGTATTTTTCCACCCTCCCGCCTTCCTCTTCCACACCTCGCTGCACAGAGCTGACTTCAGGTATGCTTGTTCTGCTCTTTTTGGCCCTCTTAAATTGGGTTTCCCCCTGAAGTGCTTCCAGAAAGACGACGGGATAATGTATCAAAAAAGCATCCAGATCAAATCAAAAGCTCTGTGTTCCTCTTGATGGCTGTATCTGAGCAAGGAGGGGCAGGGCATGGCTGACGTCCCAGAGTCATGGCGGGGAGCTGGACTCCAGTATGTCTTCCTCTCCTCTCTCAGAGCTCTCTGTTTGTCACTCGCTATCACCGTCTGTCACGCCACAGAGCGCCACGGCAACACACTCTCCTCACATGCATCTTTCCTTCTTGGCCATGATGGCAAGCGGTCCCTCAACACCTCAAAAAGGAAACATGTCATCCCTCTCTTCTCACACTGTGCTAAAAAGGCCCCTCTGCCCCCGGGGGGGCTCTACTCTTCCTCTGTCGATCGATACACTGAACCCTCGCCTTCATTCATCTACCTATATATCCGTCTTCCTGTCTTTACGCCTTGCCATTTGTCTCCAGTCTTTACCACTTGTCTGTATGCTCACTGAGGATCTCTCAATGGCTTTTGTTAGTGATCAATATACTCTGTACCTCTCTCTTTAAAATATAAATTATGAATATCAGTGGTTTTAATATGGATCTTAAAAGCAGGACATCCTGCTCCTGTTATGTCCTCATTACGTACTGTGAATGCAATCCTTCCCACTGATGCAAATCTCTCACATTGTAATATATTCCGCCTGTTTGGATTTTGCTTTCCTTAGCATTTCTCTCCAAAATGTACCTTAGATTGCTTTTTTCCCTCTGCATTCAACCCCCACGCAAGCAGTATTGATCTCTCAGTGCACTAATTATCCTGCTTGGCCTTGGATGTCTCTGTGAATTGCAGTCAGTCTTTGATCGACATGTCTGGATGTCTTGCGTTACCGTTAAAAAGGGACAGAAGCTGTTTTTATTAGAGATATTAAGAGTATGTTTAGGTTTCGACTCCTGATCTTTATATAAACAAGTGTGACACCTTCCTAAATGACCAATATGTCTATCTGCAGTTCCTATGCTCAACAATAAGCTCTGAACTTGGCTGAGCATCACCTACTGTATGTGGGTGTGTATGTATGAGGGCAGTATTTACATATGCATCCATGCATATGTGATATTCTGTATATATGTGTGTGTGTGTGTGTGTGTGTGTGTGTGTGTGTGTGTGTGTGTGTGTGTGTGTGTGTGTGTGTGTGTGTGTGTGTGTGTGCACGCGCCTGTGGGCAAAAGTACAGGTCGGTACATCCTGCTCTGCCGCCATCTGTGCTCAGGCAGGCAACAGGCCACTTCATACTCAGCCTCTCCATACTGCACATTTCTCTGTTTGTTTTTATTTATTGATTTATTAAGTTATTAAAATGTCATCAGTTTTGTGTCAGTATTTAAAAACAAATATGTGCCAGTCTGATGCGGGCATTTAATTACCTGGAGCTCCTAAAATATTTAAAATGTATACTTATAGCTACATTTGTGCCAACTTCAATTTAAAAGCAGGGTTAGGATTAGGTTTAACTGTGTCACTGAAAGGTTTAACACTTTATCTATCATTCCCCTTTTTGTAAGATTTGTGCATCTCTATTTTTACACATTCAAAATATGTCTTATAGTAGGAAACGTGTCCACCAACACACGGGGGAATCCGTGACCTTAGATTGAATTATACATGTTTTTGCGTAGCATTACGATTCTAGATACATCCTCCCACTGTTTCCATGATTACAATTTCCGTTGCGTCTGTAATTGTCAAGCATTATGATGGTAGATTGGTAATCAATAAGGAGCTCAGGAGTCGGTGTCACTGGTGACCTTTCTCTGGGCTCAGAGGAGCCTCGGCCAATGACATTTTAAGCTCAAAGGTCCCCGTGGATAAGCACTCATCAGGCTGCGTGTAAATGACACTTTTGGCATTCGGTTTCTAAACAGTGCTCAGCCTAGCAGAACATATAGATGCACCGACGCAATCTGCAATGTTTAGCATGAGCCGCGCCTATACATCGTAGCATGTAGCCAGAACATATTAAAATGGGTGAGAGACAGCTTACAGAAAGATGCAGACTTTGCAGACATAAATAATTCAGTTGTTCAGTTAAATATGCAGACCGGCTTGATAAGCTCTAATGAGCTGAAACATCTGTCTGCCGGGGGCATGTTGTGACCCTTGTCGCCCTCTCCAGCCCTGTCCATTGGACCCCTCTGTTTGGCACTCCTGTCCTCACCTGCCGGCCCAGGGAGTCAGGCTTAGTCGTGCTCAGTATATGAGGATGCCCACCCCAGCGTCAGAGCCATCTGCCAGCTCCCCTCCGGGCGGCAGCCAGGTGCTGGGCACGCTCTCACAGCTCTGCCACAACAGCACCGCCTGCTGCGGTTAGCCTCCTGTGCCAACTGTTGATCATCATGTCCTCTCATTCCCGCCCAGAGACTCATTATTAACCCAGGGACACGCTGTGCTTAATTTAGATTTACAGCAGACTAAAGATGGATTTAGAGTTCGTTGATATTTTTTGATGAATTTCCTAAAGCTTCATGGGACTTTGTTGTGTGTTGCTGTGCTCCTCCTCTGTGTTTGCTGCAGGTCTCCCGGGTTGTTTCCCCTCGAGATGCAGTTTGTGTTGAAGCAGCATTTTACACGACATTGCGCTTACATGTTCACTGCTGCGCTGATGTTGGAGTTATACTCCATAGACACTAGCGACATCGGGACTAAAGTCAAACATGTACAGGTTGAACATGAAGAAACTAAATTCTCGCTAAATCTGTTATGTTTTTTAAATGATCTGAATCCTTTCAGTAGGGTTTCACCAGTGTTTACTGTATGTTTGTGTTGTATGCAAATGACTACACAGGAAGCTGATCCAACACACAAGGCAGAGGGAGCTTCATTGCTTCTGCTTCACTTTGTACAGCTTCAGTTAATGATCTGGGTTTTAGGGAATACATGTTTCAGTATCGTCATGACAACAGCCATTGATTTTGTTTGTTTATCGTTTATTCTTATGGATATACTGTATAATGATGATTTTCCCTACATATACTTCATTACTAAGTTTTCAAATTGTCTTATCAATTAGGATCCAGTCACAGTATATTCACTAAACACTCCAAATCCTGAACTTGTATCATGTAACATATAACCTTTGTTATATGATACAAGTTCACCCCTTCAAGTAAATACTCCACACACTTCTGACTCCTATTATACAAAATAATATTATCTTCAATGGATTAGTCACTGAGCTACATTGGATTTAATTCCCTATATTTTCTGGCATTGAAACTTTTGACGTTAAATCTTAGAGGCTCATTTTATCCGCTTTCAAGTATTTATGTTAGAAAAACACTTTTAAGCTTATCACTAACCTCAATTAAAAAGCAAGATTATAGCTTAACAAGTTATTTGTTTCATCAAAGATTTAACCCTATCAGAGCACATATTAACGTCTGCTTTTTCAGTCATTTATTCTTTAATTTCTTCTTACCCATGGAGCCCTGCAGATAGCCGTGGGGCCACAGGCCTCATTTCTCAGCTCAGTTACTCAAAAAAGATGAGCGCCACTTGCCTGGAGAGGGTACTAAACATACTTTATTGCTCTTTAATAATTGCTTTTCAACATTGTTTATCTTAATACAGCCCCTTTTATGGGATCTGAGAAAATACCATTTACTAGCTCTCGGGAGCAGAGTGGCAGTCTTGGATGTGATGTGTCGTGCCACCTGTGTGCCGGTCTGTCTCCCTCCTGCTGTTTGGCTCTTTTAAGAGGCCTGATTCATTGGCAGGCTGTAGCCTTATGATATTAATAGATCTCTTTGCAGTCGGGATGGCTCTCTTGTGTGTTAGGCTTTTAAGTAATATGTTCCCGGACAGTGATTCAAGAAGGCGCTTTCCTAAGATTGTGACATTTTTTGTTTTGTATATAACTGCAGACCATTTCATAATTTCAAATGTTCAGACTGAGTTCCTTAATAGTCAGAAAAGGACAAATTATTATTATTTTACTATTAAAATGAAACATTCCTGGTTCTTCAACCCATACTTGGCCTTATGTTCAAGGTCACAATGTATAGCTGCACTGAGAGGGACTTCATGCATTATGTATGCAATATTTCATTCATTGCTAATTAGCACTTACAGGAAAGGATGCCCCCTGATTTTAGTCACATTTGCATAAATATAATGGGGCACATGAGAGTGTAAAGCCCAACGTCTGTCCTCCCCTAGGGGAGGAGGAGAGGTGTTACTGGGATCTGGGTGCACAAGTGATAATTGTTAGAGATCTGCTATTCCGACGCCCAGTCCATAAACTAAACGGTGTGAAGTGAACAAAGACACTGGCTAGCAAACACATGCACCATGAACCTGTAAAAGACAGAATTAAAGATAAAGCTCTTAATTCACTTGATTTTGAAAAATGTGTAGATCAATTGGTGTTTTTTTAAAAGTACAATTTGCCATTTGAGTATGACAGATGGACACTTTTCACTGTATTTAACGTGAGGAAGGTGCATACACGCTAGTTTTAGACAAGTGTAATTATTATCCAAGATTGATGGCAATGTTGATGTGAGCAGATTGAGATCAAACACAAGTGATTCTTTCTGTATAAATGTGATATGCTTTAATTGAACATTTGTGTTACTCAAAACTGGGAATCATAAAAAGAGGGTTGAATAATGGTGGTGATTTGGGTGTGGGGGTTGCGGTTTGAGGGAAGGGTGATACATTATTCACAGGGGTGGGGGCCTTAAGTGCCAAATGAATTTGTTTTTTCTTTCCAGTTGGACGGTAGAATAAATGGGTGCTGTCAGTCGTGCAGTAAAGTGCCGTGCATTCATTTAGACAAGTGTTATTGCAGCACAGGAGCAATACGGTTTTAGTGAAGCAGGCCAGCCTGGTGGGTGGAAGCTGTGTAATTATCTCCGGTTCCTATGATGGCAATGATTGTTGAAACAGCCAAGTGGTCCCAGAGCACAGCAGGTGTGGCTGTCAGGCTGCAGGTTTGTAGGCCTGTGGATGGGTGTGAGTGCACACCAGCAGTTGGAATAGTAGAGACTGAACAGACCAGTGCCTACATTTTTTTATGTTTATATGTCGGGACAATGGTAAACTCAAGTTACTTTTGCGACTAACTTGAGTTTAATTTTTTGCATGGTGGCTAATAATGTCATGAAAACCAACAAGTCTCCCAATGGATCAAACACCATCCAAAACACTTTCAGCCTGATATCTTGCCTGTAATCAAGGAACAATCAATAAAGCATTAACAGGTTTTCTTTTCATCTTGCTATATGTCACATCTCTTTATAATTATCTTAGAATATATTTAGAGCAGATTGGTGTTGACAGATATGGCGTGGCACTGATTAAACGGAGCAAACAGATGTTTCTATTTTTTTCTCGTTTTCCACCATTGCTTCTAAGCGACTATGACAACGTGCAAATGCAGAAACACAGACATCTGCTGCATTTCAAAGGACCAGCAGTACGGAAAATGAATACTAATGTTGCCTGACCGTATTTATCTGTCTGACATTAAAAAGAGCTCTACTTATTCCCTGTGATGCAGAAGAAACTTTGAAACTGCCGGACTTTCAGTGGTGTGAGTCAGATAGTGGATATGACAGATGTTTGCCAAGAGATATGGCTTCTGTTGATGCTCACACACAACTTGGAATGAGATATTAATTCTGCAGGTTTATTTTCTCATCCTGAATCCCTGTGTCAATTTCTGTTTCTGCTGCAGGGACTACTCCGGACAGACAGTAGCAGATAATACATTTTACAGCAAGAATATTAGGAACACACATGCAGTTAACACACTATAGTATACACAACTTGGACCAAATAAGGGGTTTGTCCTCTTCAGTGAGTACTGTAGGTCTCTGCAGTGCAAATACTCACCCGTGCAATACAAATCCTAGCTATGAAATATTTGTTTCATGTAGTCTTGCTTCAGCCACAGTCAGAAGGAGATGTGCTCCTCCTAACACTCCAGTGAGGACACGGTTTGAGATGATCAACACTTACTCGGCTGACTAATGAGGTGGATTCAGAAGGGGCAAAGGGCTGGGTTGAACGTCTTTGTTAGACAGGCCTGCAGCCCCTCTCTGTGCAGCCTTCTCCCGGGGGAGGCCTCACAGACTGCCTAATTGAATCAAGTACACATGGTGCCTCCCCCTTCACAGCTCAGCCCCTCCCCGTAAGAGAGGAGCGAGGAGGAGAGCTCGGGCTTTGATGCTTTTGTTCTCCTCAGCCTCATGGACTGCGGCAGGGGGCTACGCTGCAACTGGTTGCCCGCTGCTGGGTGGAGAGGCACATCATCACAGCTGCACTCTTACAGTCGCTGCTGTCAATACACTCCTCTGCTGAGGCAGAAGATTGGTGTGTCAGACGCTGCAACACCGTAAATTACAAGTCCAGCTACGGATGGAAGGAGCTGGCCCAAACAGAAAGATCGAAAGGTTCAATAGCCCATTAAATCAGAATTTAATAGAACAAAGAGAAACATCACCACAATATAATTCATGTGTCAGTGGGCAGGTGGCCCAGACAAGCAGAACAAACAAATGTTAAGAAGACAAGGACTGTGTGACTACGCATAGCTTAGTGCCTTGTATTTCCTCAGCGACCGTCTCTTGTCTTCCTCAAACACGCCCAGACGCAGACAACGTGTCCTTGGCTCTCATCGCAGTTCAGCACCCTTATTTCAGAGAGACTGATTGGAGCTGTGCTTCAAGGGAAAGTCTTCTTATTAGATGGCCTCCAGATGCCAGGTTCATAAAGCATCCATTTGTGAGTTAGCGTTCAATTTGCAAAATACAGAACAGAGAGTCTAGCTAGACTGTCTCTGAGACGTGCGCCGTCTCATCCTGCTGACTGAACTGATTTCTATAAATGCCTTTACATTATGTACCTCTTTTTACGTAAACATGTCTCTTGTGCTCCAGTTTGTAAACTTTGTTCTGGCTTACTTTAAAGTATAATACAGTGAATGATAAAAGGATTTTGTATGTTGATATTTATGTTTGTGTCATATTATGGATACTTTAGGAACAGAGTATTTTACCAGCTAAACAAGGGAAAATAGTACCACTATTTTCCTGTAATTCTTTGTGTATTGTTCTGGCAGGTATGGGTTGTTAGCCTTAATTCGGACCATCCTTTAACAAAACTAGGTCTTCTTTTAATTAAAAGAAGACCATTTGCAAAGCTGAATTCACTTTGAGTAGGGCTCATAAGTATTTTCACGAGACTCCCTTTACAGCCAGTAACTCAATCATAAAACCGTGCCCGGAAAGCACTATTGCAATGAACCTGGGCCAGATATGTCTAAGAGGCTAAAATGTAATTGTGGGGAACAGCTGGATTAGTCCA